TTCATAAATTTTTATATTACATGGCTTCTCGGGTGACTTTACCAGAATACTTGCCCATCTGTGAAAGAAAATCCCTGGAGTGTTATGACACCCTCTGCCTTTGGCATCGGGTAACATAACACTCTAGGGCTCTCCAGTCCCCGAGGGCAAAATATTCTGGTATAGTCACCCTCGAAGCCATGTGATATAGATGCATGTATAATAAGACATGCAGTCACCTTGGGATTTCTATGTGTAACAGATGGGGCCTTTTATCTCCTTTGTTTTAAATATATGGAGATAACGAACAGTATCCAAGCTCAAAAGTCCATTCAAAGAATACAAATCAGGAGCAGAGCAAACACGGACCTCTAAAACATCAGGGGTGGGATCAGCTGCCATAGAAAAGTGAGCATCCCCTGTTGACCGGTCACATCCGCTGTGTGCTCTTGTCATAATCAGGAAATAACGGAAAAGTCCGTCGACAATTCAGTGTGTAAATAATGGCCTAACAATTAGTATAAAAAACGTCAGTCAGCATTTGAATTGGTGATAAATTGTATTTGCTGACAAGGTCACTGTACCGACCATAGAACTTACGAAATAATGACTTTAAACGGGACTCTTGATATTCTTGTTTCATCAACTTGTTTGTTAATAACTTACCTCGTTATATAAATTCTTCTTGCGTATCGCATCAACTGAGAGATATAAACCCAGTTGCAGGTAATGAGGGTATATTGCTACATAAGGAAAGTTGACGATTGAAAAGTTAAAGTCATCACGTTTATCATAAAGCTTTGTTGTAAGATTACCATTAACGTCTTTTTCTAGTAAAATATCCAAATATGAAATAGATTTGTCATACTCTGTGGTATCTTTTATCTCAACCTCACTGGAATATATTTCGTGTCGACATATGAATGGAAATGACTATTGTTAATTGATAATACGTCGTCGATATATCTTAATGTCGAGTTGAAGGCCACAGCAAGAGTTTTGTTTTTCTCATGCATAAGATTTTAAATAAATTCTGCTTCATATGAATATAAAAATAGGTCTGCTAATAACGAGGCACAATTGGTACCCATGGGAATTCCAACAGATTGTTGGAAGACCTGGTCTCTAAAAACCACATAGATATTGTCAATTAGAAACTCGAGCATCTTTCTGATATCATAGTACTTGTGTGTACAATCAGAATGATTTTAACAAAATAATTTTGCAAATGACCAATGACCAGGTAAGTAAATTTACGAGTTTAATTTGACTAAACTTTGAGACATTAATATGAAGGGAGATATAATTCTAGCTGCATAGCAGAGTTACAGATTCCATGTTCCAGTCCCGTATAAAAGTTGGAGAGAAACTTATAGCTATCCAAAATAGGATGGGAAAAGTAAGAAAATGTAGTAAGTATATTTACAATGTACCTTAAAAGGGAGGGTACTTATCAACTTTTGGTGATTCTTTAATTACAAAATTAAATGCAAGTATAGTTTCTGACTATATAATCACCGAAAAAGAAAAATGAATAGAAAAAAGATAGGAAAAGTAGAAAGCCCCAGTGTTTGGATCACAACTAAGTAAGTTTCTGATAGAAAGAATGGCAGTGTCTATATTTTGCCCGAAACTCTGATCAGTTAAAAATTTTTTGTTTGTTTGTTTTTTTGTGTGTGGAATTATATCCTTTCTCTGGACTATATTAAAAGTAAAACAAGAGGCCCAAGGGCCTTAAATCGCTCTTCTGATAAACTGTACAACCTAACACTTCTATTTGAAGCCTCTAAGTATCCTGTATAATTAGAAAAATCCTTGAAATTCCAAAGGCAGGTCATCATGACCTACATACAAAGTTTGATGATTCTAAGCCAATAAGTACCTGATATATTTAAATTAAGCCATAAAATTTCAAAAACAGATCAAGGCGACCTACTTATCACTTGTCATTCTCTGAGGACCCAAGATACATAAACAAAGTTTGATGATTCTTAGCCATTTAATACCAGAAATATTTAATTATAGTCATGTAAATTGAAAAGTAGGTCACGGTGACCTACTTTCCAAAGTTTTCATTTTATGTTTTTAGAGGACCCAAGATGCATCAACTAAGTTTGATGATTCTAGGCCAGTTATTACCTGAAATATTTAATTATAGTAATATAAATTGAAAAGTAGGTCACGGTGACCTACTGTTCTGTCAACCTACTGCAAGGACCCAAGACATATCAACTGACAAATTTTGATGATTCTTAGCCAAATAGTACCCGAAAATATCAAATACAGCCAAAAATTTCAAAAGTAGGTCACGGTGACCTACTTTTCAGTTCTCGTACTCCAAGGACCCAAGATGCATCACCTGACAAAGTTTGATGATTCTAATTAAGCCAATAAGTACCTGAAATATTTAATTAAAGCCATAAATTTTCAAAAGTAGGTTACGGTGATCTACTTTTTCGGTCGACCTATTCCGAAGACCCAAGATGCATCAACTGACAAACTTTGATGATTCTTTACCTATTAGTACCCGAAATATTTAATTATAGTCTTATAAATTGAAAAGTATGGTGACCTACTTTTCAGTCGACCTACTTCGAGGACCCAAGATGCATCAACTGACAAATTTTGATGATTCTAAGCCAAAGAGTACCCGAAATATGAAATACAGCCTTAAAATTTCAAAAGTAGGTCACGGTGACCTACTTTTCAGTTGTACTCCAAGGACCCAAGATGCATCAACTGAGAACGATTGATAAGCCAATTAGTACCTGAAATATTTAATTAAAGCCATAAATTTTCAAAAGTAGGTCACGGTGACCTACTTTTCAGTTGTTGTACTTTGAAGACCCAAGATGCATCAACTGACAAAGTTTGATGATTCTACGCCAATTAGTACCTGAAATATTTAATTATAGTCAAATAAATTGAAAAGTCCGTCACGGTGACCTACTTTTCAGTCGATGTTTTTTGAGGACCCAAGATGCATCAACTTACAAAGTTTTATGATCATAGGCCTTAAAATGTCCAAATTATGCCTCTAAAACGCTTTGAAATCGAATGCCTGCAAAGTTCAAGAAGTAGGTCACTGTGACCTACTTTTTAATATATATGTTTTATTGCCCCAAGATGCTTCATCTTACAAAATTTAATGATTCTAAACCTCTCAGTATTCGAATTAATGACCTTAATTGTTTTGAAAAAGATAAGCCATAAAATTCAAAAAGTAGGTCAAGGTGACCTATTTTTTAGTCGACGTACTTCGAGGACCCAAGATACATCAACTGACAAAGTTTGATGATCATAGGCCTTAGACTGTTCAAAATATGCCTTTAAATCAATTTGAAAAAGAATGGCCGCAAAATTTAAAAAGTAGGTCACAGTGACCTACTTTTGAGTTAATATGATATGACGTTCTTAGATGCATCAACTGAAAAGATTTGATGATCCTAGTCCTTATAGTAAGCAAAATATCAACATTTTAATAAAATTTAATTTTTGGTCAATTTTGAAGTGACCTTGAGGCCACGCCCTTTGCCCTAGGGTAAATCCCCGTGCAAATTTAAATCTACAACATATCCTCATCCTTTTGTGTAAGTTTGGTGAAAATCTGCCCAGTGGTTCTTGAGGAGAAGATTTTTTAGCAACCAGTTTTTTTGTTTCTATTTTCCTAATTACCTCCCCTTGTTTAAGGGTCACAACCCTGGTTTTAGTATAAATGGGAGCCCTTGGGCCAAGGATACCCTGTGACAAATTTGACAATAATTGGCTAAGAGGTTCTTGAGTTATGGCCCATATTCTAAAAAGTTTACGCACACCGCACAAATGGCCATAGCATTAGCTCTTTGAGCCTTTGGCTCAGAAGAGCTAATGATAAATAAGTGACTTATAAATTGAATAAATAATAACACATTGAGACATATAAATTCATAAAAAAAAAAGATAGGTGCATTTAGCTCTTTACAATGTAAAACATCAAAATATTTAAATGATGTTTTAAAAAGGCCATAATCAATAAAATCTTTTACGATTACATAGCTTATACTTGTTAGCGTTATTGCTGACTTGCTGAAAGAAAACTGAAAATTTTATTTTAAATTACTTTTAAATTGAAATAGGGCTCGAAAATGTGCATTTCTAAAATCGATCAGTAATTTAACCCGTCGGGGTCCTTATTATGTATTCGACGTATATACAGTTTGTTGTTCTAGGGTCCAATAGCCCTATAAACCAACAGCAGTGACGCATCAGTGGCCAAGGTAACAACAAATGGTCCGCTGGTTACTTTGTATTTGGCATCGTGTAAATTAGCGGTTGGACGTACAGTCTGATTTTGTCTTTCTGTTTTGCTTTTAGCATATTCGACAAATATATTTCTTGAAATCCCCACCAAAAAAAAAACAGAAATAAAATAAATTTTAAAAAAATGTCGAATTATGAAAATAACAGTAAACTGATTGATGGATTTATACATCACGTTCAATATAGCATTGTTTTTGCAAATGTAAGGGGGTGGAGGTGATGGGTAAATATCTATCCATTAAAATTGGAATATTCGACTGCTGCATCAAAAAGTGGGGGAAGGGGGACCGACCGCCCTTTTAATGAACATTTTAATACAAGGTACCTATTGCCAATCAGTTCTCGTCCTGCATTATGCTAAAACAGTTTTTAAAAAGATTTTACCTCACAAAAGATGGAACTTTGTAAGTCATGCAACCTGCTGCGAAACTTCACACGGTATTTTCCAATCTATCACAGTGTTTATGACAAACTTTATACTAATCAAATGCACGTTAAAATAAACGAATAATAAAATTCTAATGGACAAAAACAAAGTTTTAGGTATAATTGGAAGATTTCTCAAAACGTTTAACTCTTGTACATTAACTCATATTAAAAAGAACATTTCTGAACAAATAACCTAGCTTTCCTTTTTGCCCCCTAGTCCATATTTTACAAAATACCAACATGTCCTTGTAATGTGTAAATAGTCATACATTGCTTGAGTGACTAACTTTTTTTATCTGCATTGAGCATAGCCATAGATAACACTTTTGCAAAGAAGCTATCAAAAATGTTGGAGATTATAACTGTGATTTTTATTTTGGTACTGTGTATATATCACTACCGGAAGGAATTAAAAAGCGATTTTCCTGGCCCACCAGGCATACCCTTCGTTGGCGTCGCATTTCAGGTCGACTTGAATCGGCCTCATTTGAAGCTGTATGAATGGACATCGATTTACGGAGAGGCTTTTCAGTTTTCAGCATTTGGCAAATCGTACATTTCACTCAACTCAGCCGATGCCATACGAAATGTCTTAGGATGCGAACCAAACGCAACAACCGTGGCATCCCGAGAACCGTCGTTTTTCGGGGAGTATTGCCTTGAGAATTATTCCGACATTGTATTTTCACCTTACAGCAAAGAGTGGTCCAGTAGACGTAAGATTGGCCACCAACTTTTACATACATATGGAGATGGGGTGCACTTGCTGGAGGACGAAATTCTACAGAAACTTAAATATGTCAAACAATATATCAAAGATAATAATGAGAAGAACATCGACCCACACGATATGGTGGAAGAGTTCTTATGTAAAAACTTGGCCTCTCTGGTAATATTTTTTGCAGTTAGTTACATGTAAGTTATGAGAAAAAGTTCATTCTATTATTAAACGTCCTAAAATACTGTAAAGATTACATGTAAGAAGAAACAATAGTAAATGATATGCTAGATTGTTTGCAGCTGACAAGAATTACAATTACTCTCGTAAACAAGAAATGTTCAGTAAAAATAAAATTTATTGCTTTAAAAATTACTTTCATTAGATTGCTGGAACTACCGATCAACAACTGCAACAACTGATGAAAGATATGGATCACATTGCCAACGACATTGCAGGACCCTTAGTTGATAACATGTTTAAGACATTTCCTTTCCTGAGGTTTCTACCCTTTTCTATCACCAAGAAACCTTTCCTTGTAAAATCCATGTTAGAAGATCTAATTAAGAGAATAAAGAAAATAACGGTAAGTTTATTTAAATCGTAAGGTATTTATAAGCTGATAAATCTAATCTAAACTGAAACATTCAAAGTTTTCTTCACTTGTAGCTACCTACTCGCCCTATATGACCGTATATAAGCGAATCAACCATCTACAGTTACTGTAACAGTTGTAATTAAGGAGGGATTCTTCTCATATTTCTTGTATTTAAAAATAAGGTCCGCCAAGCAGAGTTATCTCCCCCAGGTGGCGCTCGTGTACTATGAGGTATAGATACGTCGCCATATTTGTCTACTTTATAATAGTTAGAAACCGCGTTAAGGATAAATCGTCGATATGCCAGTGTATTGTTGTGTACCTACGTGTAAAAATAAGAAAGGTGGACATCTGTTCCCTTCTAAAATCTAAATCTAAAATTGAAATGGCGAGTCGCGATTCGAAGATTGGATGTAAAATCAAGAAAGTTATGGGAGCCGGCTGCTCACGACAGGGTGGAGATCACTTCACACCCGATGATTACGTTCAATCAACACTACTTGGTTAGTTCATTATGGTAAACTATAGTTGTTGATCTAATTAACTACGTTTTTAAATAATTGGTTCTTAGCTCAAAATCATCGTAACGTGAAATAAAACTACTGTATACATGCGATGCTCAGTTAACACGGCTAAGGTTAGCCTACTGTTTTCATACTCTGGCGATTCATCATACTCGAATTATGTAATTAGCGTGTATTTAAATATAATCACACCCAAATGTTTCCTTATTTTTCGAAATAAAGAGAAAACACATGAAAGTGAAAGTAGGCTACAAGAGAGTTTGTTTTATTTTAAGGGGAGAGAAAGAGACTAAAACCAGAGGCTGTTCCTTCTGTCTTTGCCTTTGCATGTAAGAGTGAGTCATCTAGCGCAAGAGAACAAAGATACAGTAAGAGTCAAGTGTGATAGAGATCATAGTGAAAATGTGTCTAATAGTGAATGTGTTGTGGATGAAGTGGTGGTGAAGTCTGTACAAGAAGTTAATGTTGATTGTGAATGTTATGAAAGTGATGAAAACAAGCTGCATGATCAGTCAGTCCAATGTGATATTGGAAAAAGCAGGTTTTCCATTGAAAAATTGCAACGTAATGATAAAATGGTGAAATATTACACTGGTTTTGAAAATTATGACCATTTCATGATGTTTTTTCAAGTACTTGGTCCTGCAGCACATGATTTGAATCTAAAAAGCAACTTACTTTCCCCTCAAGACCAGTTCTTTTTAGGTATGATAAAACTGAGACAAGCTAAAGAAGACACTGAGTTGAGTTATTTGTTTCAAGTCAGTGAAAGTACTGTTTCAAATATTATTGTTACATGGATCAATTTTATGTACTTTCAACTTAAAGAGATTAACATTTGGCCCTCGAGATCTGTAATTGATGAATATATGCCTGATGACTTCTTTGCAAATTTCCACAAAACTAGAGTGATAATTGATGCCACTGAGGTACCAATAAATAAGCCCCAGAATGTAAATGCCCTGAGAGCTACATTTTCAAATTACAAGAATAACTAGATGCGATCTCGTTGCAAGCAACGAGTGGGTCTTCCGTCCGATTTTTGATAAGATGAGATCAGAATTTGACTGATATTTTTGTTCAAATATAATGATAAAAATAAATTGTTAAGACGAAAATTTTGCTTCAGTAGTGTGTATTAAAATATTGATCATTAAAGAGTTATAGATTAAAGACTTTCGGCCCGTCCTGGCCCCTATTTTGAGGGGCCAGTCCTTTTTTCTTGGTATCTTCTTATAGCTCTCATGATTTTGAACATTTTTGTTCAACAACTATTCTGAAATTCTTTTTTGCTTCCGAGATATATGCAAAAGAAATATTTAGGGGCTGGCCCTTCAACTCCTTAATGGGGGCGTTTAGCAAAATTGATAAGGTTACATATTGTTTAAAACCTTATTTTGAACATCTTTTATTCAACACTGCTTATCAAAATATTTCCCAATTTCAGGATATAGAGTGCCAAAGATTTGTCATTCTGGCCCCTTGTGGCCCCTAATTATGTAACATATGATGTGAATATTATGATATATCGTTTTAAATTGTTGAGATAAACATGTTTGCTTCAGTAATGAATTACAAAATATTGAGCATTAAAGAGTTATTCATCAAAAACTATCGGCCCCTCTCAGCCCCTATTTTGAAGGGCCAGTCCCTTTTTCTTCATATCACTTTAAAGCTCTTATGATTTTGAACATTTTTTGTTCAACAACTATTCAGAAATTCTTTTCCGTTTCCCAGATATTTGCAGACGTTTAGCAAAAATTCAAAAGGTTACATATTGTTCAGAATATTATTGTGAACATCTTTTATTCAATATTGCTTATCAAAATATTTCCCACTTTCGAGATATAAAGCGTCAAAGATTTAGCATTCTGGCCCCTAATGTCCCCTTATTACGTCAAAGATTTAGCATTCTGGCCCCTATTGTCCCCTTATAACGGACTATATGATGCCAACAACATATTATATAGTAAAGGAGTGTGAAGATGATCTATTCTGCCTTAGTAATGTATTACAAAATATTGATCGTTTAAGAGTTATTGATGAAAGACTTTCGGCCCATATCGGCCCTTATTTTGAGGGGCAAGTCCCTTATTCTTGATATCACCTTAAAGCTCTTATGATTTTGAACACTTTTTGTTCAACAACTATTCAGAAATTCTTTTTCGTTTCCGAGATATATGCAAAATATTTATTTAGGGGCTGGCCCTTCAACTCCCTAATGAAGACGTTTAGCAAAAATTGAAAGGTTACATATTGTTCAGAACATTATTGTGAACATCTTTTATTCAATATTGCTTAGCAAAATATTTCCCACTTTTGAGATTTAAGCGTCAAAGATTTAGTATTTCGGCCCCTCATGACCCCTAATTATGTAACATGTGATGTGAATAACATAATATATAGTTGTAGTTTGCTCAGATAAACATTTTTGCTGCAGTAATATTTTACAAAATATTGATCGTTAAAGAGTTATTGATGAAAGACTTTCGGCCCCTACCGGCCCCGATTTTGAGGGGTCAGCCCCTTTTTCTTGATATAACCTTAAAGCTCTTATGATTTTGAACACATTTTGTTCAACAACTATTTAGAAATTCTTTTTCGTTTCCGAAATATATGCAAAAGAAATATTTAGGGGCCGGCCCTTCAACTCCTTAATGGGGACGTTTAGCAAATATTGAAAGGTTGCATATTGTTTAGAACATTATTTTGAACATCTTTTGTTCAATATTGCTTATCAATATATTTCCCACTTTCGAGATATAAAGCGTCAAAGATTTAGCATTCTGGCCCCTTATGGCCCCTAATTTTTTAAAATATGAGATTTTTTATCATAATGTATAGTTGTAGATTGTTCAGATAAACATTTTTGCTTTAAAAATGTATAACAAAATATTGATCCTTAAAGAGTTATGGATTTAAGACTTTTGGACCCTCTTGGCCCCTAATGTGATGAGTCAGCCCTTTTTTCTTGATATCATATAAAAGATCTAGTAATTCTACACAATTTCTGTTCAATATGTTTTAAGAAAATATTCATAATTTTGAATATATGATAACAAATGTCTCGAAAATTCACTCCTGATTCATGTCCTAAATTTCGACCCATATCGAGCTTCCATACCAGGCACTTCCAGAAAATTTGAAAACTGAGGTGCACAACTAGAACATGTCCTCTATTATCACTGAAAATTTCAGCACTCTAGCTTTTGACGTTTTTGAGTTTTTGTGTAGACAAAATGGTCACTTAAAATTCGATGAAAGGGCGATAACTTCCGACCGGAAGTGAATTTTCAAAAAATAAAAAATATGAATAAGGTTTAGATCATGATACATCATCTCTGAAAATTTCAAGTGAATCCATCCAACCATCTCTGAGAAATCGTCTGCACAAAATTTGGACAGAAAAAAATAATAATAATAACTAGATGCGATCTCGTTGCGAGCAACGAGTGGGTCTTCCGACCGATTTTCGATAAGATGAGATAAGAATTTGACTGAGATTTTCAAAAATCGAAAAGTTACATACTGTTTAGAACATTATTTTGAACATCTTTTATTCTATATTGCTTATCAAAACATTTCCCACTTTCGAGATATAGAGTGCCAAACATTTGGCCTTCTGGCCCCTCATGGCCCCTAATTATGTAACACGTGATGTCAATATCATAATATATAGTTGAAAATTGTTGAAATAAACATTTTTGCTTCAGTAATGATTTGCACAATGTTGATCATTAAAGAGTTATTGATTAATGACTTTTGGCCCCTCTCTGCCCCTATTTTGAGGGGCCAGCCCCTTTTTCTTCATACCACCTTAAAGCTCTTATGATTTTGAACACTTTTTGTTCAACAACTATTTAGAAATTCTTTTTCGTTTCCGAGATATATGCAAAAGATATATTTAGGGGCCAGCCCTTCAACTCCTTAATGGGGACCTTTAGTAAAAATCGAAAAGTTACATACTGTTTAGAACATTATTTTGAACATCTTTTATTCTATATTGCTTATCAAAACATTTCCCACTTTCGAGATATAGAGTGCCAAAGATTTGGCCTTCTGGCCCCTCATGGCCCCTAATTATGTAACATATGACATAAATATTATAATATATAGTTGTAAATAATTAAAATAAACATTTTTGCTTCAGTAATGTATACCAAAATATTGATCGTTAAAGAGTTATTGATTTAATACTTTTGGCCCCTCTTAGCCCCTAATATGATAAGTCAGCCCTTTTTTCTTGATATCATATTAAAGATCTTGCCATTCTGCACAAATATTGTTCAATATGTTTTAGCAAAATAATTATACTTTAAAAGATATGATACAAAATGTCTCAAAAATTCACTCCTGATTCGTGTCCTAAATTTCGACCCCTACAGAGCTTCCATACTAGGCACTTCCGGAAAATATCTAAACCCAGGTGCAAAATGGCAACATGTCCTCTATCATCACTGAAAA